CCACGGGAACGTGGGTGTATCCGCCGCCCCGCGCAAGGCCAGCGCCAGCAGCAGGGCTGGCAAAGCCCACGGACGGTGGGACAGCGGCTGACCCCGCCTCTCTGGCGCCCTCATGGTCCTCGCTGGAGTGGGGCGCGGCACAGTGTACATCTGGCGCCGCCGAGCCCTTGTTCGCCCACAGAGCGCAGCCCGGCTCTCCGCCCCACGTGCTCTAGCTCCGCTGCCAGGCAAGTATAGGGCCACAAAGGGCGGGCGGGCCAGCCTCGTCACGCCCCGCGGGAACCCCCTACTTCCACCCACCCCCACCCTGCCAGCTGACCCCAGTGCTGGGCAGGGCGGTTCCCAGCCCACGGGAGACCCCTCCCGGAACCGCCCTGGACTGAACCCTGGGGCGTGGCCGGCACCAGTGTGGCCACCCATGGAGGGGAAGATGGTGCCCACGGACCAGATCCTGTAGGGCTCGCTCAAAGTGATGAACACTTAGGGTGCCACTGTCCACACTTTTATTAGACCCCACCCTGAGTAAGAGCAGGCACACAGCTCAAGCAGCAGCACTCACAAGCCAGCCACAGGAAAATCTCCCAGAAGGAGACATCTTCCAGGTGACCCACCCGATCTTCTCAGGGGTGGGCTCAGATGCCAAGAGCCACAGCTCCCATCTGTCTGAAGCCCACAGTGGGCCTGGACAGGCCAGTGTAGAGCCATGTCAGGAGCCTGGAGTCTCCAGGGATGCTCACTGGGGCTTTGGCCAGAAGACCTGTGTGAGGCTCTGCTTCCTGGTGGCAGCAAAGCAGGCTGGACATGTCCTAGAGCCCTGTGGAGACAGAGGCCGCTAGGCATGCCTGCTGGGCACTGCAAATGGCTGACAGTGTGCCCCCACCCTCCTTGGCAGAACACCCGCAGTGATGCCTGGTAGGGACCAGAGAGCCAGGCACCAACCTGGAGGTGCTGTTGCCAACAGGCCTGGCAGCGGTGCAAGTCACAGGAGAGGCACTGGAAGGTCACTGTGTCCTCTGCCCTGCAGCCTGGGCACGAGAAGCCTGCTGCAAGAGGCCTGCCTGAGTTTGCTGGGCCCACTCCAGTGCACCCCCAAGCCTGGTAGTCCCTGCAGCCCCTCCTATGGTTTACCATGGTCAGGAAGCCCAGGGGGCAGGCTGGGTTCCTCATGATCATCTGGTGTGTGTCTAAGGAAGGAGATCTTGCTCTGGATCCTTCTGGGTCTCTGTAACTGTGAAGGACCTGCAGATGGAAGTCTGGGCTGTCAGGTGCTTCCTCCTGAACCCCTGGGGGGCCAACAGGGAAGGGTGTAAGAGCAGGCTGCCAGACCCCCACCTGGTTGGGGAGCCCCACTGGAAAGTTCAGGAGTGGTGGGGCTCTCTTCCTGGGGGCCCAGTAGTTCTGTGCCTGAGGCAGGCAGGCCCATCAGGTCTGCACAGGTCTGCAGGAAGCGCTGCTTGTGGTGGGGACGCACGAACATGTTGAACCCTGTGGGGAGCTTTGTTCAGACTGAGCCCTTTCCTGAACACTGTCTAGCCCGGTCTACCCCCTTTCTCCATACCACCCTTGTCCCGCCTCACCCCCAGCAGGGATCACTTGCTTTGCAACAGGGGAAGGTCCTCGGGCCTTGCAGTGGTCAGTGCGGCCAGCACAGCCATCACCTTGTCAAGGTTGTCATCCTGTTTGTATGCCTTCAGTGCAGCCAAGAGCTGGCTGTAGCCTGTGGACCCCAGGGCCTTGCGGACATCTGCCAGATAGGCACTCACAGCAGACCGGCCCTGCTGTTCTACTCTGGACTGCACTTCTGGATGGCCGCAGGCATCTCCTAGACAGGTGTATACAGCATGGCTTGGGGACAGTGTTGGGGATCCAGAGTTCCTCTCACTTCTGCCTGCCTTTCCTCCCAGGAACTACTGGAGAGCCCTTCATGTTGGCTGGGACAACTGCAGGATGCAGAATCGAGTGTAGCACAAGAGACCCCCCCCACACACACAGTGCCCTTTAGCTTCGGGGATGACTGGTTCAAAGCAGCTCTTAAGCCAGACTATGACACCTGATCCTCTTACAACTGCAGACCTGACATGATGTCTGCAGGAGCCAGGTACCTGTGGGAGGTAGCCTGGTAGACAGGTGAGGCTTGCCCCGGTTCAGGTGCACTCCAGCATCTAGCTGCTTGGCCACCTCCTTGGATCGGTTCAGCTTGGACTCAGGATCCCTCTTTCCTGAAGAAACATGTTCCTGAGGACCTCAAGAATCCAGGACAGAAGGCAGGCCTGGCCGGGGGTGACCAGGACTTGCATCCCTCTTGGACCGGACACACAGAAGCCTTGGGCACCTGGGGAAGCTGCTAGACCCACTGGGAGGGGCAGGGCTTTGTCCCTCAGCTGGGGGCTGGGCAGTGGAGGACAGCCGAGGCCTCTCTGGGAAACCCTAGGGTGGACTGATCTTCAGCAAGCATGGGAGCAGGTGCTGTCACTCTAGATGGACTCAATTCTGCTCAGTCAGAGGCAAGAAGGGGGCAGACCGATGCTAGTACAGGACCATGACATATGACCCGAATTCCCAAATGCAGGTCTCTTGTGGGAGCCTGGACTCACCACTGCGCTCACCCCACAGGGACCCTCATCACCCCACACAGGAGCAGGGCAGCTGGGCCAAGCCCAACCACCCCAGCACTCCAGGTGTCCCCATTCCTGGGTCTGAGGCTGTTATCCCCATTGGGCCACTCACCACTGGGTCCCAGGGCTGGCAGTGCCTGCTGCCTGTGGGAAAGGCTAGGCTCTGGCCAGCTACTGCAGCCTTGACCAGTGAGCTGAATGCAGATGTCCTCAAACTGTTGTTTGTGGTGGGGCCGCACAAACTGGTAGAAGCCTATTGAGGAGGGTAAGTCCAGACTTGTGGACTCCATGCCCTTCAGCCACAGGGTTGGGGACCCTGGGGACCACTGCTTACTATCTGGCCCCTTCTAGGAAGTAGGAACAACTTTGGGCCCTAGTAGCCTCCTGCCCATTCTGGCAGCCCCCACCCACCCCATAGCTGTGGCCCTTTCCATGGGAGAGCCTTCTGCAGGCCAGGGCACCTTGGAGCAGTGTGTGCTTCTTGGGGTCTTCAGCAAAGAGGCAGCTGAGGCAGGCCATCAGTGCTGTGAGGTCATCGGAACTCTTGTAGACCTTCAGGGCCTGGGTAAAGGTGTCAAAACTAGCTTGGCTCAGTGTCTGCTTCACAGCCACCATGAACAGCTTGGCTCTCTCTTCCTGTGTACCAGGTGCTGGCTCCTCCTGATGAGCACATGGCCAAGGCCACTGTCAGGACTAGCCCTTTCCCTCGTGGCCCTGGGACAGTGCAGAGCCCAAGACTCCCAGGGACTGTCGGTTCCCCTGCCTGGTGAGGAATAGAGGGTAGAGGGTCCCTGGAAAAAAAGCTCCAGTCCTGGAGCATGGGTGGCCTCAAGCCTGATTGGGTCACACCAGAGGCAGCCAGGAGGCCTGCAGAATCCACAGGTACTCCTCCCCAAGGCAGGTGCAGCTACAGCTGAGCTCTGAAAATCAGCAGCTCATGGCAAGGGGTGTGCTCAACGGGCTCCTCCCTACTTCTGCATGCCTCAGACCCAAAGAAACCAAAGCAAAGATGGCACAGGCAGCCCCCACCTTGCCCTGCCCAGCCCAGCCCAGCCCACAGAGGGCCTAGCCTCTTAGCAGCCAGTACACTTCCTGCAGGCACCAGCCCTACCTGGGCACAGCCTGGTTCTTCCCAGAAGCTGAGGGATGTGGACAAAAGCAACCACACTTGGGGCTTTCCAGCAGGCAAAGGGGCTTCCTGTCTCAGCCTGTAAATCAGTTGCTTTCATCTGAGACTGGGGACATGCTGTACTGCCTCACACAGGCCAGAGCTACAACTCAGGAAAAGCCAGGGCCAAGAGGACAGTGGTCCACCATAGCTGGAAGAATCATGGATGGCTGCAGGCCCGACAGAAATGTGCCCAGGGACAGGGCCAGATTCTGGCTGGAAAAGGAAGATGAGCTCTCATGCCACTCACAGAAGGAACAGCAAACTCAACATCTCAGCTACCCGCAAAGTCCATTTCCATGGGTCTGCTCTGGCTCACACCCCTGCTTGGTTGGAGGCCACCCATGCAGGAGCCAGATTTCCAGACTGCATGAGTAGCCAGGGAGATTGCAGGGAGGGCTCACATACCCGGTAGCTGACCAGCCGGACCTTCTTCCTTCCTCCTCTCTGCTCATCAGCCAGCCTCTTCTCACACTGAAGGGACAAGGTAGAGCGACCAAGTGCCTAAAGGGGACACAGCTGTGGTCTCAACCCAAACCCTGAGAGTACCTATGGTAACCCTGGATCCCCAGGATCCCTGTAAGAGCCGGAACAGCCCAGTGGAGGAGGATGTCTTGCCAGAAGCCCATGCCATCTTCTGAGCCCACGCCACCAGTCCTCACGGCTTGCAGGTAGCAGTGTGTCACAGTAGCCACAAGGACAGTTTTGTGCTAACTGTGGACTATTAGCACAGGCTCAGTTCAGGGGCCTGCAGAGCAGGAATGGAGGTGAAGGAATGGCTCCCAGAAAGCAGGAAGTACGGAGGGGCTCCAAGTGCGGCTCGGGAAATTATGGGCTACAAGGCAAAAGCCATAGGGGAAAGGGGAGAAGGAACTCGGGGTCCCATTTCACAGACCATGACTTAAGAAAGGGCAGCTTTGGATGCAACAGGTGGCGGGAGGCACGAGACCTTGTGGACTTTGCCAGGCTGACTTGCCAGGGAGCCAGTGTAGTGGGAGCTGTCTAAGGGCCAGAGTACACCTCTGCAGGGGAGCAAGTGGCCTGGGGGTCCATTTTTCCACCTGCCCACTGGGAAGGGAACTGAGCAGTAAGAAGAAAGGTGTCAAGGCCAAATGGGTAGTCCTCAGGCATCTCCCCCTGCTGTAAACCACCTTCCCAGAGTTGGCCTCAGGTGCCCCAGCCTTTTGCTCGCTGTGCTCCAGGGCAGCCAGCAGCCCCATGGGCTTCCACTGGGCAGTGGCCGGCTCCTGCTCATACTCCACACACAGGTTGCTCTCTGGGTCCTCGGCAGCTGGCGATCCTGCAGGAGCATTCATATGGCAGCCAAGCTTACAAGGGGACCAGACTACAAGGAAGCTACTAGTCCTGCCAGGCAGGCTCCTGCCTCTGCCCTGTATGGTCCTCATCCGGCCCCACACACCTGCTGGTTTCTGCCTCAGGCTGGGCACATGCACGTCTAGACTTGTGGCTTTTCTGGTTGAGAAGAGGGGTCCAGGTGATGTGGTCACCTTGGCAGCAGCTTTTTCGTCACCCACACCTGGGTCCAGAGACTTGGGGACTGGGGTTGGCATCTGCACAGCAAAGGGTATGTGAGGCCTTCTTCTGTGGCTCCTTGGGGTGGGGGATACCCATCCCCACCTTGGGCAGAGTGTGGGGCACAGCCAGCTGGGCATTTGGGTGCTCACAATTTTCTGAGCAACACGGAAGAACTGGGCTACATCCCGGATGACATGGCCAAAGTTGTTGTACACTTTGATGTAGGGGCGCACCCAGGAGGGCAGCTGGGCTTTGGCGTCTGCATAGGAGAACCTGGAAGGGTACACAGCCGTCAGCCCAGTGTCCTCTGCTCAAGGGCCCGAGGCCATCCCTGCCCTGTAGCCCACAACACTGCACACAGGTCTCCAAGTGGAGCCATGAAGCTCAGACCCCACAGAGCCAGAGGCTGCCACAGCCTTCATGCAGGGGAAGGTCCAGGGCGTAGAAAGGGCCTTGAGCAGTGGGAGTATGCAGGGTGGCTAGGTGGAGCCTGTCAGTACCTGTGGTCACACAAGAAGATGGCCCCATAGTCATGGCGGTGCCTGATCACCCGCCCAATGGCCTGGTTCACAGCCCTGGATGCTTGCTGCCGGTACCATTCTTGCCCTGAGAGGAACTACAGGGCAAGGGTCTCAGCCACAGAGACCCCTGGTCACTGGGTCCTTGTTCTTTCCTTGCCCCTGGCCCTGTAGTGTCTCACCTGACCTCCAGCTTGGCTCTGGCCCCGCATCTCATCCAGGAACTGCATCTTGAGGACAACCCGTGGGTCCATGCGTGGTGGGTATGGGAGACCCGTGATGATCACACCCCGGCCATTTACATCTGAGAAGTCCAGCCCCTCGCTGGCCTAAGGACACAGACCCTGGAAGTGCCTGGGGGCAATGTGCATTCCTCTTCCCTGCTTGCTTCTACCAAAGCCTGGCACTTTCCTCAAGAGTCTGCCCATACCCTAACCCTACAGCCACCTCCCCTACTACAGGTAGGGGTAGAAGGAAACTCCTCTATTAGGCCAGGCCCTCCCTAGCTCCCGGAACCCCATGACCAACCCTCCCCTACTCAGAACCTACGTCTTGCCTCTCCTTGGCCTGGGCCAGGGCCCAGGAAGGCCCATAGCACACTCCCTCATTTGTTTGCTCCATGTGGGGCCCAAGGCAGGTGTGGGCCTGTGCCCCCAGGGCCAAGTCTGCTGATGAGCCCTGACCCCTACCAGAGGCCAGGCAGGGGATGAGGACTCGCAAAGGCCTCACCTTGCCCCGGCACACAGCTAGGAAGGTAGCCCCACTAGACCCAGGGGAGGTGACACGCTGGTAATAAGCATCAATAACCTAGAAGGAGAGGACGGTTACCCTGAGCTTTGAGCCCCAGACCCTTCCTCAAGTCATGATGATCCCACATCTCATCCTGAGATGAAGGCATCATCCCAGCCACACTGACCCACATGCAGCACCCAAAGCTGTTCAGTGTTTCCCCGTGAACATGGGGAACCCAGGGTGAGGGTAGCAGGTAGGGCATAAGGGTCAGCTCTCATTGTAACCATGTCCAAATGCTTGCAGCAACTTTCTAAACAGCTACACACCCAGGGACCGGGGGGAAGCACAGGCCCCTGAAGAGGCAGCCTGGAGCCAGCCAGAGCCCTGAGCCAAGGATGGGGGCCATTCCAGGAGCCTCAAGGAGCTGCGGGGGCAGCATGCCCAGAGTCCAGATTGAGCACACAGACCTCAGAGAAGTTGCCTTTGCTCCTGGGCTCCACAAACAGAGGTTTCAGCGCCTCCATCTTCCTGGCCAAGTCTCGGGCCTGAGGAAGGAGTCAGGATGCGGACAGGCCAGTCATTCCACCCATCAGACCTGTGCAAGCTGGGGGCCTCCACAGCCTCCTATGTACCCTGGCACTGCCCACCCACCCTGCCCAGACACCTGGCCTCTCTGAGGTGCCCTGCCCAAGAGAACACACAGAGGGGAGGGTCGTACCCGCCAGAATGCCAGGCTTTTCTCCATGACAGGGTAGGAAGGGAAGAAGACTAGGAGCCCATGAGGCACTACACGGGCGATGTTGCCTGGAAGCACAGGGCTGGTCAGGACAGGTGCGGGGCATCTGCAGACTTCCACCGGCTCTTGGGAAGAGAGACTGCGTATGCTGGCCCCAGTGGGACAGCTGGGGACGCAGGCTTCCCTAAGGAGACAGGCTCCCATGTGGAGCACACTTACCCAGCGTCTTTCCCAGAGAGGACAAGCACTCCTCAGAAAACCTGCTCAAAGCCAGAGTGGTATTTACTGTAAGTCCCAGGGCTCAGCCACAGGCCCCACCCCACTTCAGTGTGGTCCCAAGACCAGAACCCCTTACCGCTTGTCAAATGCAGAGCTCAGCTCTGCTCCATCGGGGCCTCGGGGGATGACCCCCACCCAGAGCTGGTGCTTCTCGATGACGTGTGGGTTCTCCAGTAAGACTGGGAAGGGGCTAGGACAGACCACGGGCGGCCCCTCAGGTCTGGGACAGCCAGAAACTTGGCGTATAACCCCGGGCCAGCACGCCCCACACCCAGAACGTCCCCAGTACTCAGCCCATACATCTGCATCTCCAGGGCGAAGGAGGAGAGCGGGGCCAGTGTGCCGCTGGTCAGGATGAGGGTGCGGACGCCCTGGCAGAGCAGCTCCCGCATGCTGTGGCCCGGGCTGAAGCACCAGTAGCTGAGTACCTTCCCTGCAGGGCAATAGGGGTGAGAGATGGACTGGGATGACAGCATCACCTTCCCCACCCACCGGCAGCCACGGGCCCAGAGTGCAGCAGTCAGAATGAGTTCTGCCCGAGATCAAGCTCGGCCTGCAAGCTGGACCCCTCCATGAGGGTTAGGAGTCTGGGAAGCAGGACAGAGGCCCAGGAGAATGCTAGGTGACTCCTAGAGAGGGGTTAGCCAATCCTAACCCCAAATTTTTGCAGAAATGGTGACATGTGGCACAGGGCTCAGAGCCACTCTGCCAAAAGCACATAGGAAGGAAACTATTTGACCTCCTGACATTCCAAGCACAATTGCAAAAGACAGAGACACAGCAAGTTCCCAGACTGGTCACGTCAGCATCAAGCAAGGTCACTGGTTCAGAGGAAGCTCATAGTTCCTCACAGTGCCTGGCTGACTGGAGCGCGGCTACCGCCTCCAACTTGCTCCAACGATCTTCGGAAGTTCCAGAAATTAAAACAGCACCAGTAGAATGACCTTAAACAAGACTCTAAAGGCAGGATCAGGCGCCAGCAGGGACAAGGGCAAATTTCCTGAAAAAGGCAAAGCCACATTTTCAGGCCTGAGGAGTTTTGTCAATCTTGGGAAACAATCTGTCCTGCTCAGGGCTGCCTTGCAAGAAGCAGTCCACCTCAATGAGCTAATTTCCAAGAAGCACTCTACCCAGCAAGGGCTAGTTCTGAGAAGTCATATGATTTCAGAGGTACAAAAACACTACTTGGCCTCTTCTATCTGACCAACCCACAGGGCTCCTATGGCCTCATAAATGCTGTCCCCAGCCTCAGGAAAGACACTTCCTGAAGGAAGAGGCCCTGTTGTAAGGCCACACCCAAGATTAGGCTGATCTTTCCCAGCCATTCCCTTTTCTTCCCACTAGGCGAGGCACACTCAAACCCCATCCACACTTTCTCCAAGGCAGCCTGTGGCCTGAGTCAGCCAGCAGCCAGAGAAAGAGTGGTCCACAGAAATAAAGGGCACAGAGATGCCCAAAGGCAAAGGCAGTGCTGTGAGACCCCTTGAGAGCCGCACCGGACCTGCAGGTGCCTGACCTAACAGCTCCCAGGAGCTTCAGCTGTGAAACCACACTCACTGTTGGCCACCAAAGCTAAATAGCATGTGGGGTCGGTAGGACTGGCTCCACTCAAGAACCCCAGTGTTCCAAGATCCCAGGCTCCAAGGCCCCATATGTGCAGCCCCTCACCAAGCCCACACTAAGACACCAGGATGCAGGAGCCCTGGAGGCATAAGAGAGGCTTGAGCTCAATGCAGGAGCTTGGACATGAGCTCGGTGCCTAAGGAGTGGTCTTCTGGCAGTGTGGAACAGGACCTGTAGGGCCTCATCACAGTGCTGGCTGGACTAGGGACGAGAACAGGTCTGCGCTGATCAACCTTGCCTAGGTGAGTGTCCAGGGAGGGGGAAAGAGTCTTGGCTCACAGGATGTCAGGCCTCCTTTAAGCTCTCTCTGACTTTCAGAGGGCAAGTGAGGCGGCCATAGGTGTGCCTGGCCCAGGGAGTGGTGGTGCTGGGTTTGCACTGAGGCCAGGCAGGGGAGCAGGACCTTGCTTCCTAGATGCAGTAGCACTCCAGGCATCTGACCGCTGAGCTGCCCTCCGGGGTCCAACGTCAGGATGTATGTGCACCTGGAGGAGGAGCATGTACAGGTGTGCTGAGGCCCTAACTGGGTCCTAGAGGCAGCCCCAGCCCTGCCCTCATCCTGGAGGCGTCTCCCACCTTATAGGACTGTGAGATCCCAGGGCTTCCCTCAGTGGGGTCCATACTGAACACAATCTGAAAGGCAAGGAGGCAGAGCACATGGGTCAGAACCTGAGGCAAGAGCACAAAGCCTTTTGTGGTGTGACAGGGAAACTAAGGCCTCTTGGCCCATCACAAAGGAGTCCTAAGGCTACCTTGTCTTTTTCTGAGTCACCCCACACTCGCCCACATGCTCAGGGGCTCACCTAGCCCTGCTATCCAGCCTGACAGCATCCTCCAGCCAAGTGGCAGAAGCTCACACCTGTATGTCTTCTCCCACTTTCAGAGGCAATCTCTGCATACCTGTGAGACTCCCCCTCCAGCCAATGTAGCCACCCTCCCTTTGTGCCCCTTAGAATCGCAAAATAATCTGGAAATGCAACACATCACAGTCAAGACCACACAAGATTCCCACAGGACATGAACAAGCTGACACCAGAGTCTCAGGACAACAGCAAATAAGAATGAGTAGTAAAATGACACCAATGACGGAAGCAAGGTGGAGCCTAAGGACAGCAAACATCTGACTTATGCCAGGAAAAGGTAGACCTGTGCCCCCTGCATCCCTCAGAGAGACCTGTAAACTGATTCAAAGCCTAGGCACTAAGCTAGACAACTCCACATAAAGCTGGAAACCAGAGGAAACCAGCTGACCAGATAGGTCAGGAGACACAAACCATGGGACAGACGTCTTTACCATACGAGACTTGAACCCTCCCAAAGATGGAAAAAGACATGCAGAAAGCACACATACTGCCTATGGCTCAATAGTTAAGATTTATGAAGAGCCCTGCAAACCAGTAAAAACAAAACAAAACAAAATTAACACAAAGGAAAGGCTCACAGAAAAGGAAGGGTAACTGGCCAAAACGTATACAATGCTCACTACAGGGAGGGCAAGAAACTGTGGCAGGGTTTGCTTAGCAAACTGGCCACATCAGTGCAGTCCACTGGCTTCAGAGCACAGGGACAGGCACAGCAGCTTCCATAGGACTCCCACTGGCTCCAGGAGGCACTGCCCCAACAGTGAGAAATGGGAATCATCCACAGGAAAACAGAGAGGAAACTGAGCTAACAGTCACTCTGCAAAGTACACTAGGGACTGAGACAGTACAAACAGACCTTATGAACCAACAAGCAGGTTCTCAGCAAACCAGAGAATCCAAGGCTGCCCAAAGTGAGGACATGCCACGGTATGCCATGCACACACTGCTGGAGCCGAAGCATCTGTCTTTGGGGTGCTGCATGGGTATGGGTACATGCACGCGTCTGTGTACATATACACCTGTGCACAGCGTGTACAGGTTATGTACCTCAGAGAGCACAGTCTGATATGAGCACAGTCTATAGCTATCTTCACTGCAACCCACACAGCGTAGGGTCCAAAGCTGGGGAGAGCAGTGGGAGATGATGAAAAATGGGAAAACAGCAAGAAAGAAAGCAAAATTATGCTTTATAGCTGGGACCAGGTGGAACCATAGCCTGATGAGCTGAGGGCCACCTGGCATCCAGTGCTCTATTTTAGTGTAGGAAGGCGGGTTACCACTGCCACAGGGCCCACGGGGGTCCAGGCTGGACATGATTGTCTCGAAACAAAGATACATAATGTAACTGTCTCCTGGGGCTGTGCCATCCAGGATCTAATCTGTGGAGGAGAAAGGAAGTAGGGGAGAGAAGGGCCATCTTCAGGCTTCACACACCAAGCTCTGCATTTTACCAAAGCCTTGGTCTGCAGAGACAGACACAACAGAAGCTCATGTTGGGGTGGAGGCTCCAGGAGCGGCCCACACACATCAAGGGTCAGGTAGGAATCTTACACATGGCCATGCTGCCTCATCTCTGGGGATCATGGGGGACCCCATGGTGACCTGTTCCCTGCACAGGATGCCTGTCAGCACTGCCCACCTTCCTTGAAACCCCACTACCGCGCTCGCAGATTTCATCACCACTTAAACTGCACATCTCCAAATGCATGTCCCAGCACACTGCCCTTGGTGAGAACCCTGAGGACACTGTCTCCTATCTGATGCCCATTCGGCCTGGCTGGCCATGCTAGGTAGTCCCTGTGCCAGCCTCCAGAAGCACCAGGGGGGACCAGCTTCCCATCTAGGCTGGATGAGTGGGGCCTCAGTGTTCTCTCAGTGGCATTTCTGCTTCTGCACCGGCACCTGCTCCTGCAGGGCTTCATCAGCAGGCTGTTCCCCGCACACCTCGGTCATAGGCTGAGACCCTCTCTCTGACGCAAACTGTGAGGGGGACTGGAGTTGAGGAAGTCCGGCCCACTCCTCCCTGTACTCCACGTGGGCAGTCTAGAGATACCTCACTCCCTGTGGACCCACCTGCCTCTCAGAAAAGGACAGAGCTCCCTGACCCTGCTAGGGGCCTCATAATAACCATGAGCTTCCTGAGGAATGCACAGCAGTCAACTCACTTTTAAACTTAAAGGACAGGAGCTGCCGTCTGAACTTGGCTCCATCTCTGGATGACACATCACTTGGCCCTGAAACACCTGAACGGGTTTGCCAAACGTGGAGAAAGGAAGAGCTCTGACAACCCTTGGTGATTAAGAAAACAGCACTGACATCTGGGCAGGACAAGGCATGAAGGGAAAACCTCGCCCCACTCTTGCGTGCGTGCTGAATGCCTACTGCCTATCTGACTTAGTGAGCAAGGGGCAGGGGCTCCATTCTGAGAAACTCAGCCCCACTTTCTGCACGTCCTACCTCGGACTGGCTTTCTGTGGCCCGAAAAGGTCCTGTGGCAGCCCTGTGAGCACTGCCCAAGCTGCACACTCACGTCCTGGTGGGAGTACCTGGCAACTGCAAGGTGCTCAGGAAGCAGGTGTGAGATGAGCAACTCATTAGTCACAGTCCCTCCCTCAAGGGCATGCTAGTGAGGATCTGGCCAGCCCAGCACCTCCAGGGCCAGGCAGGGGAGCTATCACTGGCAAAGAGCGGCAGCCAAAGGAAATTGCAAACCAACAGGGTGACCTGCTTTGGATTCAAGGGATTTTTGAGGAGAAACCTCCACTGATGGGAAGGTGGAGAACCACACTGGCAGATACTGGCTTATCCACTGGAGCCGAGGAAATGGCTCAGGTGGGCCAAAGGAAGACAGCTGGACCTCACACAGAGTGGGAGAAGGGTGCTACTAAACTGCACATTATGGAGCAGGAAGAGACCTGAGACCAGTCTGTCTTGCTGTCTCTTTCCCTCTTCCAGTGACTCCACAGTCACATTTCTCTCTCAGTCAGAGGCTTCCATATTCCTGCTTTCTTCAACAGGAGTGCCCACAGCCACCCTCTTCTCTATCAGGGACTTCTACAATTGTGTTTCTCTGTGTCTTTCAGGGTCCTCACGCAGTCACGTTTGTCAGAGTTCTCACACAGCCAAATCGTCTCTGTCAGGTGCTCCCAGTCACACTGTCCCTGTCAGGTGCTCCCGCAGTCACACTGTCCCTCTGTCAGGTGCTCTCAGTCACACTGTCCCTCTGTCAGGTGCTCTCAGTCACACTGTCCCTCTGTCAGGGGCTCCCGCAGTCACACTGTCCCTCTGTCAGGTGCTCCCAGTCACACTGTCCCTCTGTCAGGTGCTCCCAGTCACACTGTCTCTCTGTCAGGGGCTCCCGCAGTCACACTGTCCCTCTGTCAGGGGCTCCCAGTCACACTGTCCCTCTGTCAGGTGCTCCCAGTCACACTGTCTCTCTGTCAGGGGCTCCCGCAGTCACACTGTCCCTCTGTCAGGGGCTCCCAGTCACACTGTCCCTCTGTCAGGTGCTCCCAGTCACACTGTCTCTCTGTCAGGGGCTCCCGCAGTCACACTGTCCCTCTGTCAGGGGCTCCCAGTCACACTGTCCCTCTGTCAGGTGCTCCCAGTCACACTGTCTCTCTGTCAGGGGCTCCCGCAGTCACACTGTCCCTCTGTCAGGGGCTCCCAGTCACACTGTCCCTCTGTCAGGTGCTCCCAGTCACACTGTCTCTCTGTCAGGGGCTCCCGCAGTCACACTGTCCCTCTGTCAGGGGCTCCCAGTCACACTGTCCCTCTGTCAGGTGCTCCCAGTCACACTGTCTCTCTGTCAGGGGCTCCCGCAGTCACACTGTCCCTCTGTCAGGGGCTCCCAGTCACACTGTCCCTCTGTCAGGTGCTCCCAGTCACACTGTCTCTCTGTCAGGGGCTCCCGCAGTCACACTGTCCCTCTGTCAGGGGCTCCCAGTCACACTGTCCCTCTGTCAGGTGCTCCCAGTCACACTGTCTCTCTGTCAGGGGCTCCCGCAGTCACACTGTCCCTCTGTCAGGGGCTCCCAGTCACACTGTCCCTCTGTCAGGTGCTCCCAGTCACACTGTCTCTCTGTCAGGGGCTCCCGCAGTCACACTGTCCCTCTGTCAGGGGCTCCCAGTCACACTGTCCCTCTGTCAGGTGCTCCCAGTCACACTGTCTCTCTGTCAGGGGCTCCCGCAGTCACACTGTCCCTCTGTCAGGGGCTCCCAGTCACACTGTCCCTCTGTCAGGTGCTCCCAGTCACACTGTCTCTCTGTCAGGGGCTCCCGCAGTCACACTGTCCCTCTGTCAGGGGCTCCCAGTCACACTGTCCCTCTGTCAGGTGCTCCCAGTCACACTGTCCCTCTGTCAGGGGCTCCCGCAGTCACACTGTCCCTCCGTCAGGTGCTCCCAGTCACACCGTCCCTCCGTCAGGGGCTCCCCCAGTCACACTGTCCCTCTGTCAGGGGCTCCCGCAGTCACACTGTCCCTCTGTCAGGTGCTCCCAGTCACACTGTCCCTCTGTCAGGGGCTCCCGCAGTCACACTGTCCCTCTGTCAGGTGCTCCCAGTCACACTGTCCCTCTGTCAGGGGCTCCCGCAGTCACACTGTCCCTCTCTCAGGTGCTCCCAGTCACACTGTCCCTCTCTCAGGTGCTCCCAGTCATACTGTCCCTCTGTCAGGGGCTCCCGCAGTCACACTGTCCCTCTCTCAGATGCTCCCAGTCACACTGTCCCTCTGTCAGGGGCTCCCGCAGTCACACTGTCCCTCTGTCAGGTGCTCCCGCAGTCACATTCTGAGATAGTAACAGTGTCTCTGTCAGATGCTCCCAAAGTCACACTGTCTCGCTGTGACGTGTTCTCTCAGTCACCCTGTCTCTCTGTCAGGGGCTCCCGCAGTCACACTGTCCCTCTGTCAGGTGCTCTCAGTCACACTGTCCCTCTGTCAGGTGCTCGCAGTCACACTGTCCCTCTGTCAGGTGCTCCCAGTCACACTGTCTCTCTGTCAGGGGCTCCCACAGTCAAACTGTCCCTCTGTCAGGGGCTCCCGCAGTCACACTGTCCCTCTGTCAGGTGCTCTCAGTCACACTGTCCCTCTGTCAGGTGCTCTCAGTCACACTGTCCCTCTGTCAGGTGCTCCCAGTCACACTGTCCCTCTGTCAGGGGATCCCGCAGTCACCCTGTCTCTCTGTCAGGGGCTCCCGCAGTCACACTGTCCCTCTGTCAGGGGCTCCCGCAGTCACATTCTGAGATAGTAACAGTGTCTCTGTCAGATGCTCCCAAAGTCACACTGTCTCGCTGTGACGTGTTCTCTCAGTCACACTGTCTCTCTGTCAGGGGCTCCCGCAGTCACACTGTCCCTCTGTCAGGTGCTCTCAGTCACACTGTCCCTCTGTCAGGTGCTCTCAGTCACACTGTCCCTCTGTCAGGTGCTCTCAGTCACACTGTCCCTCTGTCAGGTGCTCCCAGTCACACTGTCCCTCTGTCAGGGGCTCCCGCAGTCACATTCTGAGATAGTAACAGTGTCTCTGTCAGATGCTCCCAAAGTCACACTGTCTCGCTGTGACGTGTTCTCACAGTCACACTGTGTCTCTGTCAGAGGCTCCCGCTGTCACACTGTCAGATGCTCCTGCAGTCACACGATCTCTCTGTCAGAGCCTCTCACAGACATATCTGTTAGGAGCTCCTATACTTTTGTCTATCTTCATCAGGGGCTCATAGAACAGGGCATTCACAAGGCCCCCATCTGTCTTTCCCCTGAGAAATTGCTCAGTAAGTCACTTGTCTCCAGATATTCCCTGGTTTGAGCCCATTTGGAGCTGCTGGGCCTGTCTTTAAACCAAGGGGTCCTGCCCAATCCTGAAGGATGTTGGCAGGGATAAGATGCTTCTGGCTTTAGCCTAGGTGCTATACCTGGGTGTGTCTGGCCACTGGACAGCCAAGTATGACTTCCCTTAGAGGACTACAGTGGGTTCAAGGCAGGAGGAAATACTTATGAGTTTGCTAACCAGAAATATGTGGTGTGGGACCTTTGTCCAGTCCCCACAGCTCCTGCCCTGACTTCTATCAGGAAAGGAGATATTTCTAAGTTCCTACCTGGATGATGTCCATGAGCTTCTGCAGCCCAGCTGTATTGGTGAACACTCCGGCACCTGCAGGGGCAGCAAGAAACTGATATCCACACCACATGTAGGTGATATTCACCCAGACCCCATAGGACCAGGAGCCAGCACGACCACATGGCCAACCTCCACCTCACACCTCCTGGGGTAATCAGCTTCCCCGCTAACCGAGTGTCAAGTATGGGATGTGCTAAGGGAGGGCAGTGGGCCTGCTCTTCCTAGAATGTCAAAGAATAGCCAGAGGGGACAGGATCTCCAGAAGAGTCTTGGAGATAGTCTGTTGGACTCAAAAAGGCTATTGTCAAGTGAGTGTAGGAGCTACCTGCCTTCAGTGCCCAGGAGCTCAGAAGACTCCAGAGTCCTGCATCTAAAACCACCCCAAGCCCGCCCAGCAGAAAGGGGTTTCACAGGTTTCAGCCTGGGATGATGCAACCCCCTGGGAACCCCTCTGGGCCTCACCACTGAGCAGAAATAGGATCCAGGGTAGTATGGGGAGGAAGCTGGTGGAAGCCACAGCTCAATGAACCCACCTAGGCCTCTCGCTTTTCCTCCTTTAAGGGGAACTACCTGGGACACACAACAGAAAGAAACCCCTGACAGCAAAGCTGGAATGTGCTCCACTAAAGAGCCCAAGGGCCAGTCAAATAGTACAAATGCCTCAGTGTCCCAGTCAAAAGGAAAAGCCCAACAGGCCAGGCTCCTGCTCGTAAGGGAGGACAGACAAGACAGCAGGCTGCCACACAACTGTGTGACCAGTGTTGTCACACAACTGTGCTGGCTGCCAGCCGAGGGCACCCCTGCTGGCACCCGTCTGCATAAAAGGGGCTTACATGACATGCCCCCAACTTGAACCAGAGACTCACGTCCTGCCAAGTGCTGGATGATCTGGTCCAGTGATTCCAGGATGCAGACCTTGGACTGAAATGTTATCTGGGCCTCAGCAAACAGGTTGAAGATATAGCTGACAGAGAGAGAAAAGAAGCCAAAGCTTGGCCAGGGACCAGGCTTGCAGCTTTGGGAATCTATAGGTGAGCAGCTTTTTAAGAACAAATGCTGAGCTCTTTAGGATTGACAAAAGCAAGGTGAGAGGACTCAGGACCCTTCAGATGTGGAGATAAGAGTGGGTCCTGGCACGACAGCCACATACCAAGCAGAAGACCAGGAACTTGGGCCAGGGCCACCATGGGGTAGAGGGAGGGTCCTTGGAGCCTTCCTGGGGCTAGGGTTTCTGAGTGGGATTCCCAAGTGCTTTGGAAATAGACAAGGATGGGGTTCCTGGAGGGGAATCCTGGGATTTAGCACAGGACAGGGCAGGCAGAGGAGCCAGGCTGGAGTCCTGAATGTCAAGCTGAGGAACGAGGCTTCGTCTGCAAGAACTGCAAACCTGCAAGGGTCAGAGCTCAGAAGAACAGACCGGCTCAGGAGTAAGGCAGGTAACCCAGGGCCCTTAGGACACACTTTGCCCTTGGTCCTCAACAAAAGCAGGCCTGGTCACAGTACAGCAAGCAATTAGCTGTGTGCCCAGGAGTGCTGTCACAGTGATAGTCGTCTGCCTTCAAGATGGCGAGTTTTACTGGCCTAGTTTGCTAAAAACCTGGGTGTCCTGGACCCCTAAACAGGTGGTAATAGCACCGGTTGGGTACAGAGAGAGCCTCATCTAATGAACTGCCAAGAGTGGGAGCAAACAGCCGCAGGACTGTGAGAGTACGCCGTGACGCCCAAGGGTCTCACTGACCATGGAAAGCTGCCAACCCTCCTGCAACAGACCCCCAGTAGGTGAAGTCCAAGGCCTGCGTGGACACCAAGGCCATAGTCACCCACCCTAGGCAGGGTCAGGGCGTCAGCCTTTGTTCCTTACCTTCCCGGCTTAGTGATACCGCTACCATCTCCGGGTAGCTGGACAGCATCGATGGCTCCCTCCAGGTGAAGAAGGATCACTGTGGGTCAAGGAAGTGTCAGGGGCAGGCTCCAATCACCCAGAGGGGTGACGGAGAGTGGCACTTACTCTTCAGCTTGGCGATGTCTTCCAGCTGCATGTTTAGTCCTAGGTGAGAGAGCAGCACACACACGATTGTGCTTCACCCCCGAGAACCAGGATTTTTATTTTTTAGACGGGTTCATGCTAAGTCACTAGTTGCCCAGGCTGGGTTCAAACTTGTAATTGATCTTCTGGCCTCAGCCTCCAAAGTGCTATATCACTACACCACACCCACCTAACCAGGGGTCCTTTGAATTTCTTCAGGAGTCCTTCTTCCCCCGGAGCTGCCCATGTATGTAAGCTCTGAGGACTGCACTCCCACGTGGGCATGGTCCACCAGGTGTCAGCCTGGCCCTGGGCGGCATGTAGGTGTGCCAGTGAGAACAGCTCCAGAAGGTTCTGAAGGCTACACTGACTAGGTGGCCAGGACAAGCATTCTGCATCTCTACAGGCACCCTGCCTGCTAAAATAGATAGGGACGAGAGGCTTCTAACGAAGTCTTCAAAATGTTCAGAAGCCAAAAGTATTTGTCACAAAACAAACTAACCCATGGAAAAATCTCAACTTGAAAGAGAAATGGCAACAGATGTCAAGACCAGGATGGTAGAATCTGACAAGGATTTTAAAGCACCCATCATAAAGGCGCCCCAACGAGCAATCACAAACTCTCTTGAAACAAATTAAAAGTACAAGCCCTCAGCAAAGAAATATACAGGGAAGAACCAAGTGGATATGTAGAACTAGCAACACAACAGCCAAAATTTAAAACTTAGTGGGAAGACTCAAGAGAAGAAGGGCAATGGCAGGAAACAACCATAAAATTTAAGAGACAGAGTTATAGAAGCCCATAAGCACGCTTGGAATCCTAGCACTCTGAGGGAATGAGTCAGAAGAATCACAAACTCAGATCCATCCTAGGCAATTAACTCAGCCAGACCCTATTTACAAAAAAACAAAGAGTTGGAGATATAGCTCAGGACAAAGGCCCTGGGTTCAATCCCCAGTACCAAAACAAAACAAAACAAAAATCATGGATTTATGAGCCGGGCACAGTGATACACATCTATAATCTCAGTTATTTGGAGACCAAGTCACAGGCCAGCTCGGGTAACTTCATGAATTCCTGTCTCAAAATAAAAATTTTAAAGGGATGGGAATGTAACTCAGTGGTAGAGTACTTGCCTAGCAAGCCCTGAGCTCATTTCTTAGTACATTAAAAAAAAAAGATTTATATATAAAATAGTCCACACTGAAGAGAAAGTAGACTGAAAAGCAGAGTGAGTAGAGAGGCCTAGCATACAAGTCAGAGTCCTTTAGGAAGAAGAAAGAGTGTAGGACTGAAAAAGTGTCATAAGAAACAATGCATAACAACTCTCCAAACCTGATAAAAGAACTGCACATTCCAGAGGCTACACGAGGCCACAAAGGGGAAACCTAGAGGGCCCTCACCAAGACAGCCTAACCACTGAAAAGCACTGGCAAAGACAACCTCGAGTCCATCAGAAACAGTTCAAGAGCAAGGGGCCACTCGGTGGGGGTGCACTTCTCATCAGCACAGGGCCAGGGGAAGGCACTTCGAGTGCTAGCAGGTGAGCGCCGTGGCACAGGGTTCCACGCCCAGCAAAGACAATAACCGTTAGAGCAAAGGGGAAACAGTCTTAGGTGTAGGAAAATGAAGAGTCTCTCACCAGTAGCCCTTCTCCAGAGGAACCAATAACCACACCATAAATATATACAATTCCCCCTTTCCAATTAAAAGAAAAAAATTAAAATAATAGAACTGTTGGAGTCTTGCAGACAGAAAGGAAGTAATACCAGAAAAAAACCTAGAACACTAGGAAGGAAGAAAGATCAAAGGAGTAAATAGTTGGACAGTTTCTAGATATAATTCTTTTTTTTTGTCTTCGACAGTACTAGGGATTAAACTCAGGGCCTTATGTATGCTAGGCAAGCAGTACACCAGAGCTACATCCCACCTCTTTATAAATTTTGCCTAGGCTAAGTTGCCCAGGCTGGCCTTAAACTTGTGATCCTTCTCAGCCTCCATGGTGGCTGGGATTACAGGGATGTACACACCTGTTTTGTTTTGTTTTTTTGATTGTTTGATTTTTGTTTCTGAGACAGGATCTTACCATGTTGTCCAGGCTGGCCTATAACTCTTGAACTCAAATGATCCTCCTGTCTCAGTCTCCCAAGGAGCTGGGACTACAGGTGAGTAGCTGGACTACAGGAACATACTACCATGTCCAGCCGAACAGTTCTCTTTATAACTGCTTGAAGATTGTAAGCAAAAATCACTGTATCATCTGGTTAGTTCTCTGTATATAGAGGTGTACAAATGAACTATCCTAAAGAGGAATCAAAAGACAGATGTGGAAAAGAAACAAACTTCATCACATCCTGAAAAGGACGACTGGATCAGTGTTTGAAGACCTACACTGATGTGAACAGCTGTGGTCTCAGAGATGGCAGCCTAGGGCAAAGACCACTTTTGGAGGCTATGGCTGTGACCAAGGAGCTCCTGTGATGATGATATCCCTTTTCCTGCTCTGGTGGTATTCCCCAAGGTCTTCCTAATTAATCAGTGTGCTCATTTGTGAGGTTTTCTGTACCCATGCTTCGCTTTAAAGATAAAAGGCAAAAGGGCTGAGGGTTTAGTTCAGTGGTTTTGGTGCCTGCTTTGAAAGTGCCAGGGCCTTGGTCTTGGTCCTCCCAGCCTCCAGAATTCTCTTCTCTCCTTCTCCCCTCTCCCACCTCCCCTCCCCCCCCCCCCCC